ATAAAGTAAAAAATAAATCAAAATGAATATTCACGTGTCCACTCCACGGGTCAACATTTTATTTGAGTCCAGACGTACCTCTACATCTAGTGTGCTCATCTAATAATTTTTCATACAAGAGAGGTGCAATGAACTGGACGTTTTCTTGTAAGAAGCTGATACTTGGAATTTTTAAAATGAGTAATAAATATATATTATAGAAAAATCATAAAGCTCATAAAAATCATTTTTACTTAATTAATGTAAATCTTATTATATTTTATTCAATTGTCTATCATCTTATAATTTTTTTAAAATAAAACTCATCAAATTTTAATTTAAATATAAAACATTAGCTTATGTATATATAATTTTAAATTTATCTAATAATTTTCTCAAATTCAACGTTGACTAATTTTGCGAAGGTAAAGTGAATTTGAAGTATAAAATAAATAAATCTCATTTAATATTCAACAAAAATAACTTTCGATATTGTTTTATATCTTCACAACTATATAGAATCTTATTAAGAATATTACTAAATTAAATATAGATAATATTAGTTAAATCTAAATGTTTTAGAAATATAACAAAAAAAAATAGACATTCATTTATTTTACATTTTATTAAATATTAATTATTTAAAAATTTTATAAGAATTTTTTTTTAATAAAGTGCCTATAAGACTACATAAGCATAAAATAATTTTTAAGTATAAATAAAATAATTTAAAATATCATGAATGCTGTGCAGCCAATTTAAAATAATCCAAATCGAGCTAAATCGAGCTTCAGCATGTTCGAGCTCCTATAATACTACATAAGCATAAAATAATTTTTAAGTATAAATAAAATAATTTAAAATATCATGAATGCTGTGCAGCCAATTTAAAATAATCCAAATCGAGCTAAATCGAGCTTCAGCATGTTCGAGCTCGAGGTCGGCTTGAAACAATTCAAACTTATTTTATTTATGCTCGAACTCGTTTAGAAAACAGCTATTCGAGCTCTTCTCACATTCCTGTTCGAGCTCGATTCATTGTAAACTTGTTGAGCTATTAACAAGCTGCTTGTTTAGCCAATTAACGAGTCGAACACAAGCAACTACTAGACCAGCCAATGAACGAGCTCATTTAAGAAAATAAAACTTAGCAGCTTACTGTCATAACTGACCCGAACAACATTAATCGAGCCTTAATCAAGTTCTAATCGCGCTTACTCATGAGCTTTAAAAATATGATTGAGAACATTTAAAATGATTGACTTTTCCCATTCAAAAATAAACAAAGAACAATATTAAACATGTCAATTAAACAACACAAATCCACAGGAAAAAGATTTGTAATCATATGCATGAAAATCTTCAATGCCAACAAGCCTAAATGAAGCAAACGACAACATTAACTTAGATGTTATTAGCCACAATTTTGAGATTTCAAGAAAAAAAAAAAAATTTGCTTCATCCATGTGCTGTGCAAGTAAACCTATCAGACGGAATTCTTATAGCAGCTAGTTTCTTGAACATACAAATGTGCTAAAATTTTACTGAACATTGTATTAAACAGATTAAAAGCTTCTTTTATGATGCAATTTCTGCGATATCTATGAGAGAGTTGTAAGAGTGCAGTAATTAGAAGTTACTCTTCTTTCCATCATCCCCAAGAAAAAGCATATCAACATCTTTTGAAGCAAATGCTTAAGATTTTATTTCACATTATATTTCTAACATAAAAGCTTGAATATGCTTTGTATAAACTGTCTTCCCCTTCATTTCATCATAGTTACAAGTTTTTCTTGGATTTTTATTTTCAAAATTTCTCTCCAAGATGCTTGGAAGAGAAAGAACGGAATAATCAGTATCATGGTCGATAGAGTCGGCGGCATTAGAGGTGTAAACGAGTTGAGTTGAGTTGAATAGTGATTTTATCGAGCTTGGCTCACTAGACAGAATATTCGCTCGAGCTCGACTCGTCGCACTGCAAGTCGGCACATTGAGCGGCTCTATTCTGCACGCGAGCCAGCTTCCGACGTTCGTTCGAAATTTCTACCCATGTCCGCCGTTCCACCGTTCCCGCCAAGCCATTCAAAATTCCCGTGTTCCACCATTCCACGGTCCACCGATCCTGCAAGCGAATTGGAATTCCCACCCGCGTTCATCTTTGATTCGCATCCCGCCTCCCGCCTCCCGCCAGCTATAATATTAGTTAATATATAAATATTTTATTAGATAAAAAATTAATGATGAGCTGGCTCGACGAGCTCATGAGCCGAGCCACATCAAGCTCGAGTTTGAGCTTCAGCTCGAGCCGGCTCCCCCACCTACCCCCCCGCAGCCACACCACGTAAAGGCAGCATCATCATGTAAGTGATGATGGTCAAGGCCGGTACGATCGGATTCAGCTTTCTTCAGCTTCAGATTTTTGAATGAGAGAAAAAAACCAATCAACGGGGGAGAAGAAGGGATATCTTGGCTAGCAGTTAGTGACTCGAAGGGTCAAATGGGGTAGAAGCCAAGAAGATTAAACAAACGGTCCAGTTTTAATATTGAGTTATAGTAAAAACGAAGAGCTAAGACTAAATATTAGAAGAATCACAAACTACCTTTATTATAATAGTATAGATATAAATAGATATAAGTAATTGTTTCAGATTTGAATTATACAAATTTTCTTTTCAAATAAAACAGATTTAGCTTGAAGTTTCATTATCATTTGGTACAGAACCAAAAGCTCAATGATGGCCTAAACATTATGCTAATATATCTATATAATCATCTTGTATGGTTAAAATAATACAAAAGAATAAGATTACTCGCAAATTTTGTATCTCGAACTGATAGCTGAGATGATTTGCATTTGCTAAAGAGAAACCGTAAACAGGCCGAAATGGCTTTACACCCATTTAGATCCTTGATTGAAAGTACAATATCCATGTCATGATTTGAGCTGGTTTACAGCTTCAAAAAATCAGGAAAACATAAATTTCCCACGAGGCAAAGATCTGCTACGTCTTAACTCAGCTTTTGGGTTACAGCTGATTCCTTCTTCTCCATTCTGTACTAAACTGTTCGGCGGCTTATTTTCATGTTTCCCTCTCGGAAATTGCTCTCCTAATTGAACGCTTACTCTGCAGTAAGCATGAAGTTGCAGTTAGTTAAAATGAATCTACTTTAAATCAAAACAAGGGGATTCATTTATTAGAATACCTTGATTCCATTCTCTCAGAGATCCTAGCCACAACGGACTGAAATTTTCTCACCTTTGCACTTCCAGAAAAGGAATCGGTAAGGCCACAATTCATTTCAGTTTCAGAAAATTGAATATTCTCGGCTGTGACTCCATAATTTGTATCAGATTTTTGGGGTTCTCGCTGATGCTTGAACTTACTTTCCATCTTATTTTTCCTGATGGAAAGTGCCTGTCTGGATTGATCTTCACTCTCATGCAAAACTCTCCTTGAAGTGCCTTGTTCTTGCAGAAATTTATGTATGTACAGATCACTAGTTGACTCTCTAGACACTGAAGCAGTGGATTTGTTGATGGAGATAGGCTCAGGGAACTGTAGTTTTTGTAGTGGTCGTGTATGAGTTCTAGTCTTGGTTTTGATTACAGAAGCCCGATCAGTTGATGTTGACCTTCGTATTGGAGGAGATGGAGATCTAATCTTTCTAGAGATCATGCAGCTATCTCCTGCAGAAAGAGGTGACCTGGAAGCAAGATCCTTGCCCAAGGATTCCTTGTTTAAAATGGTCATTCCAAAATGAGGCTTTCTATGATTCCCAGATGAGCTGCTGCTGAACTGCATATCACTTGATTTAAAACATGCAGAATAATTCATTCGGTAAAAAGATGGTTTTTGCCCATGCATTCATTCTGATGAATATAATGTTTCTGGATGGCATTACTTAAGGAAGAAATAAATGAAAAAAAAAATTCTGGCCAGATTTTCTAGTACTCATTTTATTTAGACACTATTAATTAGTTTAAAGTAACCACAGTTCAAAAAAATCATTAGTTTAAGATTATTCTAATAATTAGGAAGAAGAAGAATACGGGCTAACTTAATCTTATTAATCCATTTGATGAAGTGAAGAATAAAGACAGAATAATAAAACCAGTTATAAGGTTATTTATACGCTGAAGGGAAGAATAATAAAAATTACAATTAACAAGTCTTACCTAATAAAGACAGAATATTGTTGGATCCAAAATTTTCAATGAGCGACACTTGACTCTACTAATAGATTTAACAAGCTAAAGCAAGAGAACATAGTACGAAAATCAATGAGTATGGAGTAGGGAGAAACTAAGAAATCTTTGTGAAGAATAGTAAAAACAACTTGAAGTCCACTATGCCTATTAATCTATTTTTGTTAAGATTAAGATGGCCATAAGAAAAATTACACTTAGAAAAAATAAAAAAAATAACACATAATTTGATATATACAGACTGACATAGAGATGTGGATAAAGCTGGATGTTGCACATATTGCCATGTGCCTCTGATGTGGCTCGGGGAAGCCCAAGGTAAGTACTTTGGGTCAGTCTTGGGGTGAGTCACTCTGGGAAAAGTGGTGAGTCTCCTCTAGATTGGACTAGAGCTTCCACAAGAGCAAATGCCCCTAGCTGATAACAATTGCTGAGGAGCATTTTTTTTTTTTTAAACATAAAAGGAATTCATTAGATAAAAACAATACACCACTAGGCCAAAACAAAATCATTGGCCATAGAGAGCAAGATACAACTAGAGGAATACAATAATCGTCAGGGACAAACAGTATGAACACAAAAAAGTCAGACGGACTCAGACCGCCACCTAGTTGGCAGGAGGCATGGGCCATCCAAGGAGAAAGAGAGGGTAACAGCCGAAAATCGAAATCCACCAAAACGGATTCAAGACTATGAGTCTATGACCACCTAGGTTGCCAACCAAGCTATGACCATCTAAGGCGCATGCAGGAAACCTGATTCATCATTGTCCTAACCCGATTCCAACTCAGCAACTTAATCCAAACCCAAAACTAACCAACAAAACCACAACCAACAAAATACCAAAAAAGAAGAATCATTTCTTTTTAGACTTAGGCTTTCAATGCTTAACACTTTTTTTGAAAAAACCATCATCTGAAATTTGGAGAAGACTTAAGTCAAAATTGTTTCGAGCATCCAGTTTTAACTCATTATTCTCCTCCCCTCCTACTGAAGAAAATTCATCATCTAACCAATCACATTGCCCCGCAGCATTAGTCTTAGCAAGGTGAGCTAACATCCCAACATTGAAAACAACAGACAAAGGCACAACAACCAAAGGCCCCCCAACTCCAATATCCTCCCAGGACTCACATCAACCGAATTACCCGGTTCATCCCCATCCACCAATGAGTCACAATCACGGTCCCTTGAGTCCTCAGAAAAAGTAGTTTCACCCTTGCTAACATTAACATTATGATCAAAAGTTTCGCTAGGACAAGCTACCAAATTAAGTAAGCAATTGTTAGGTACACCACCCTCAATAACATCCTCAATAATAGCAGTGGAATGAGCATCACAATCTACAACTAAATCCACAATATTACCACATGAAGGTGCTAACGGCAAGGAATCATTCACATCAATCCCATTAACAACTTGCTCAAGAGGTTCAAGTACACCATCAGTGGATGGCACAACCAAATGCCCCTCCTCACCAGCAGGCAAAATGTTATTAGAAAGGACATCAACATGATTAACAAACAAGGGACTTTTGTTACCATTTTTTACTGGCTCAGTATCAGTAAGAACAACATCCACATTCGTATGAGCGTTTAACAAATGTGGGTGCAAGATATGACATTCCGATTTGGAATGTCCCAAAGATTTACAATAAAAGCAAAACAACGGAATATACTCCATAATAACGGACTGGACATAACCCAAATTATTCGGTGCAATCCACACCTTGTCAGGAAATTGTTTGAAAACATCTAATTCAACCAAAACACGAGCAACCGAGGGTCTAGAACCAGTAGAGGTAGCATGATCAATTTTAAGGGGCGTCCAAACATTGAACCGAGGCCATGAAGAATCCTAGGAGCAAAAAGATGAAGTCTCAAATTCAGGAAAGACACCCAAATAGGAATAATAGGTGATTCAATATCAACATCAAATGAAGGAGACCACTTGATCAACCTCATTTAACAATTGTTAATAAAATAGAATCAATGTGCAAAGACACGACAATAATCCAAATCATTCATAAATTTGATCAAGACATGCTTGAGATTAAGAACAGATACAGAGAAATCACCGATTAGTTTAAGGTTGAAAAAAAAAAATTGAATAGCTTCAAGGGAAGTGCCCTTTATGGTGAAGGCCTGTCAAGGAGAGTTCCCTAGACAAACTCGCTGGTAATGAATGCATCTTTGATTTGATCCTCCAGGGGTGAGCTCACATGTTACAAACTCTATTGGGATGAATTCCTGCTTGTTTCAAAATTGATGTAAGCAATTGCATCCTAGGGCAAGTCTTGCTTTAAGGGAGCATTGCTTTAAGCTAGTGTCCCTCTCGATCTTGCCCATGGACATGAACCTAATTAGATACCTACGAATTGTCACGACGTAACCCGGCGTAACTTATATAGAGAACAGGTCAACTCATGTCAAAACATAGCAGGACAGTTCCTAAGCACTATTTGAAAGATATTTCTTTCCAGTTTTGTCATTAATAGAAATGCAAAGCCACTATACATCAAATTCAAATATATAAAATAACACCTATATATTTTCCATTTATCTCCAAAAAAAGTTATACAGTAATATATATAAGACTCATGCAATTCTTAAATGTAATCACTGTCGTTAACATAATTTATCACGAATTTTCTTGAATCCAACTTGAGTAAGCTAGATTTTATTGTTAACATTGCAAAGCTAAACTTTCATTAATCTCTAACGTGCAAATCATGTTTCACCGCATGTGGTTTCACATCATTATGACTCCCAATACATAACACAAAAATATCAGATCCTTATGACTCTCAAAGCATAACACCATTCATTCATTCAACAACAAATCCTTATACCTCCAAGTAGATGTACATGAGCTGATGAGCATCAATTAACAAATACCAAAATATTTTTCTTTCACATAGTTTCAATCAAACAAACAAAAGAACATTTACACATTCAACATATATAGATAGAAACAAACACATCATAAAAATATATATAATTTCATTTTTATAGTTGAGTGATCAAAGTTTCGAGGTGAATTTATTATACACATTTTAACAATAACTAATCATGAAACTATTCACATATAATGTTCACAATAACAACATGAATCCTTTTTCTCCATTGTGTCCTATTATATAGATAGAAACAAACACATCATAAAAATATACATAATTTCATTTTTATAGTTGAGTGATCAAAGTTTCGAGGTGAATTTATTATACACATTTTAACAATAACTAATCATGAAACTATTCACATATAATGTTCACAATAACATATTTTATTAGAATCCGCACACATGAAAATACTCAAACTCCATATCATCAAAAATATTTGTTGAAAATCCATAATAAATATACCATAATGTACAAAATATTTAGAACAACAACATACCAAATATTAAATAGTAAACATTTCTTAGATATAAATTTATCCTAATTTTTGTATCGTTTGTTTAATTAAAAAGCCATAATTTTCATAACAAATTGTATTATTAAAAGTAAAGAAAGGGAAAATATAACATATATCAATTCAGACAATTTTCCCAATTGACTCGTACAAATGAAAATAGCCCAAAAACCTCTGAAACAAACTTTTTTTCCCTAGAAATGTCTCCATCTCTCTAGCTGATTGATCAAAATGGTGCAAATGAGTTTTTTTTTTTTGGTGCAAATGAGTTTTTGATAAATCATTTTAGTTATTGGATATTGATATTTATATAAAAATTCATAACACAGTGTCGCGGCGCTTCAAGTCCCAGCATCACGAAGCTCCCATGAAACCCTAAACCTATTTAGAATATAGGCAACCTAACATCACAGCGCCCAAAACCCCAACGTCACAATACTCCCTATAAAACCTTTTAATCTACGATAATATAGAGTTCAACACCACATTGCCCAAAATGCAGCACTACAGCCCTCCCATGAATTTTTTTCTATACAAATGTTCCATTCACATCAAACCTATTGAACCCTTGGGACCAATTTCAAATGGAAAAAAATACATAATCATTCATAAAAATACAAAATTTTAAAATGTCAATCTTACCATATCAGTTCAAGTAATTACAAACAACTGATTATTGCATATCTGGTTCTTACACAAGTTACTACGTATGCATTATGTACTTACAAAAATCAACAGTTAGAGGGAATGCATGATGAAGATCATATATATATATATATAGTGTTACATAAACTCCCACACCTATTTTGGGTAGATGGGGATAGAATCCCACCCATATCAAGGAGATGGGGTCAGAAGAGTATAATTAGGATTCATATAACATAACAGAGTGCATTTTCCACATTTCAAAACATCATCAACGTCAAGTTATGCAAAATGTAAATGCAATTTGAACGTAATTAATTTAGATATCCATGCAGTAATAAGAAAATATATAAATTTCTAATAAAATCAATATTACTTGTAAGATAGAATACTCGCTAAACATTCCCTTTTAAACTTAGAGGAACATTCACATGAACATTTCAAGGCTTTTATTTAACTATTGTGTTTGCCAGAAAAGCCACAATTCAATAATATACTTAAAAATTTGTGTATGAAAAATCAATTGTTGGAAAGCTTAATTT